AGAAGCTTAAGTTAAGGATACTTAGAGCACTTAAGTATGATCCTACAAAGTTTTCTATGAACTTAGTCTGTCAAGTGCCTGTGGGAAATGAGTTCGCTTCACATGTTGAAGATGCCAATGTTTGTGAAGTTTTATTATGTCAGGCTGAAACAGAATTTCTCATCATATATGTTGATGTCCAAGAGATTAATGTGAGTGAAGATAACACCGAGCCTCCAAATTCACAAAGATATGCAACTTTAACCCAAGTTAAAAGGATTGATGTGGTTACTAGTCCTTCAAGGGTAGAAGCAGTAGAAGAAGCCCTTCATTAGTAAGTTTCCTATCTCACATATCACTAATAATTTTGTAAAAAATTATATTATTGATTAATAAATGATAAATAATATTTTCAATATAGTGATATAGAGAACCAATAGATGCAGGAACCTCTAGTACCGTCTACACATTCAGTCCCTTTATATCATTGCGATTATGAGATTGTGAGCAGTGGCTCTGGTGAGAAGTGCTCTGATGATGATGGTGCTGATCTTTTACCAGTGGTTAACAATGGAGTTGCAGTTGATAATGAGGAGATTAGAAATGCTATCCAATATTATTGTTAGATATATATAATATCAGTCTCAACAAGCCTATATATGCCTAAGTCACTGATAACTTAATATACTCAACAAACCATGTTAAGAGGTCGCAGTTGGATAACACCTATTTTGTTAGCCTGATGACAAATACTATTGATTTCAATATTTATCCAACTTGATAAGAGAGCAATTCAGATTCAAAAGATTTTCTCAATTAACAAATGTATTGATGCAAAATCTAGAAGAAGAATCCCAATCAACTCAAAGGCACTAAGCCACAATCAAAATTTCTATCAAGTTAGAGGCATTATTCCTTCAATAAATCTATCAAGTATAAAGCTAAAATTGAATGAGCTTCTCTTCTTCAGCATGTCCGATAAAATATAAAGCTCATGATCGAAGAAGTCATATTGCAGTTCATAGAAAGCTGTAGGTCAAACTAAGAGAATATTGTCATCATCAAAGACCATCATGCATAAAGCTTTGGATTGATAGCTATTTTCCATCAGCCTAAAGCAAGCCTAAAGGATTTAAGTCACCAGCATACACTCCTTTGGTAAACCCGCCAAAGCATTAAGCTAGGGCAAAAGGTAAGTTTTATTCTTGATAAATAAAAAATATAAATTAGGAAACCTCCTTTGTTACATCTATTAAGATTGGAGGTTAGTGTTGAAGATATATTCAAATCCTCACAAGTCAAACACGACAATTCTGATACCTGACAAGTTATATAAGGTGAATAAGCACATCCAAATAACACAATGCATTAGCTAAATAATAGACTATACTTTCTTAGCTTTTAAAATTTTTTAAAGACCCTCAGTGTGACATCTAAAATCTAATTTCCCTCAGGGTGACATCTAAAATCTAATTTTGGAGATCCATAAGGTCGACTAGTTTGCAACAAACATGATCTACTATAAAGCACAAATCATATTTATTGGGGGATATTTGTTAACCGTAGACCTCTAACCACCGGCTCCCACTACCCCACTCAACCACGATCCCTCTCCTCATAACTCTTTTGCAAGTATAAATGAATGAAAGAAACAAAACAAACAGGAAGGTATGCGAAGTTACGTTCTTTTGCAATTGAGCGAACCCGAACCAACCTCGTCTCTGACTGCCATGATCTTCCCTACCTCTCATCCTCTCTATATCGAATACAGGCAGGTTAACCACACGATTGAAGCTGACGACAAGCCCAGCTGTCCGCTTCCATTTCCTGCCTCTCATCTGCCTACTCGGCGAATCCTGCTCGAGCCTATAGCCGCATATATGCGACTCCCATTGCTCGCACAACCCTATATATATATATATATATCGAAGCACTCACCCAATCTCCCCTCACGGGGATGGGGCACTAAAAGGCTGCCAGATTTTTATGGGGGACAAAAATGTGTGTTTTAAAATTAGCAGGTCACGCACAATTTGAAGATCGAAAGACTGGGGTCGATTCGCTCCTCTTAAGCCCTCAACTATTGATTTGATTTGACCGAACGGATCCAAAAAGGCATGTGCCCTCCCTAACCTCCCCTCACATGGAGGGGGCGCTAGAAGGCAACCGAAATTTTAGGGAAAGCACCAAATTACAAATAGCTGCTCGAAGACCAATATCGGGGTTAATTCACTACCTCAAAGCCCTTGACCTTGAATCCGTTCCAACTAGGCGAATTTGGACGGAAAAGTGCTCTCTCTGTCACCCTTCGTGGTAAAGGGATGCCAGGAGGTTACCAAAATTTAAAGTGGCAAGGAATAGAACTTAATTAAAATCAGAGGGAATCTAACTTAAGAAAAATTAATAGGGGACTGAACTTGCAAACATGACCACAGGGAAATAGATCGATGCTTAAGAATGAAAATATAATGTGCAGCATAATGAAAATCTAACATAAATAAATGAACTTGTATGATATGGGCCATAAAAGACCCTTAATATATGTTTGACAATTTGCTTAGGAATGACAAGGAATGACATGCAAGTGAATGTATTAGTTGACGATGTCAATCCACATGCAAATGAATACGAACATGCTTGTAATTAACAACAATTAATTGCCGGGAAAGTGCATTAGTCCGTATATAAGTGATGGCAATGGATATAGCAAATTTTCAATTAACATGCATAGCAAAATCAATAATGAATGCAGCTCAACTGGTAGCCCACATAAGTATGTAAATGAACACACTAAACTTGATCATAAACGATAATACTCTTTACAGACATATACAGTGCAACATATGATGAATGCAAATATTTACAAGCAATAGAAGGAGATTCATCAGTGCACAATAGCTCATATGCAAGAAGCAGCGAGTGACCCGTCACATAGCGTTACAACCCACCTACAGACAATGCAGTAAAATCTACGTTGAGTGTAATTCACCTACACACATAGTTGCTAGTTTCTAAATGTCCCATGCATGCTCGTAAATAACGTTGATAAAGCTTGCAATGCGTGACAACAAATCTATGTAAAGAAATGGATGACCCATAGCAAAGTGCAATGCAACTGAATCTGCAACACTTATACGAGCAGACATAAAATGATACCTCTATAATGGCTCTAGTTTATACACAAAAATCATTCCCGCATATGCTCCGATCGTCACATCTGATTCCTAAATCCAATAGTCTGAGAATATTGAGCATTTTAAATATTTCAAGTTTCAACCTCCTCCTTGAAAGGACTAGAGTTGACCTAATTTGGATTAACAAATGAACACATAATCATAAAAAGCAAAAGCTATCTAAATGAAATTCATCTTAAAACACAAATATTTGATTTTAGCATTTGTATAATAATTAACTATTAAACCAGATCCTCTATTAGCGGTCGAACATAGTTGACAATATTTAAAAAACCAATCATATATGCACTGATGATGGCCGTGCTGAAAAACTAATATCAAGCAGAAGGGATCCCAAATATTTAAATTCCTACGAAAATACAATCAGCTTTAACATCACCCTGATGATGGCCATGTTGACAGTGAATCTCAATCGGAGGGGGCAATTCTCAAAAGTCTATAAAAATTTTAAAATACAATCACAAAAACTTAAAAACTAAAACAAACCCACCTTCCGCAACTATTTGCCGGGGGTGATAAATTTAAAATTAACCTCAGCTCATAAAGAGCGAATATCATGTTAGGTGTATCACTAAAATTCATCCCCTAATAGTCTCTTACAAATAAGGAGTGACACGTGCCCTCTGATTGAATGAGTTTGTCTCAAAAAAACACCATTATATTACGCTCACAACTAAAGCCCATATATTTCCTAATGGCGTCAAACCCCTGAGTAATGAATCATATGGTATATTCGATAGGCACAAAATCCTCTATCAGCTGAGGTATATTCAGATATATCCCCTTTGAAAAATATTCACCCCGAGTCTACAAAATATTATTGGATTAAACAACTCATGACTGGCAATAAAATGCCTTCTATCAAATTGGGTGTTCTGCTTCCTTTGACTGAATAGACCAAGGACTAAGATAGCCTGAGATGATGGAACCATGAGATCATAATCAGCTCATCTTCCCCCCCCCCATTCACCTATTTTAAGTATATGATGATAAAATTCAAATCTTAAACTCAAATCGAAATTCAAACCCTAAAATCTTTACTATTATACATTGGGTATGTAACTTATGCGACAAATCTTACAACTAGCCTTAATCGAAAGTTCTCTCTCGTTATTGAGAGGGGTAATTAACTATAAGGGCTTGCGCATATAGGAAATTAAAACTCAGATTATAAAATCCTTGTAAAATGAGGACAAAATATCTGAATAGTGTCTTATCTCAAACCTAATCTTCCTTTTGAAAATTTAAACTAAAACCTAATAGTTGTTATACTCTCCTCACCCATATAAACAAAACGACAAAAGAAAAAGCTTACAAAAAGATACTATCAATGCTAAGAATGCCTACATATAAATAAGATTAAGTGAAGATGAGCCACATGAAAGTATTATTAAAATTTTTAGGTTTATTTGAAGGACTAAATAGGTTTTAATTATTTTATGATTACAATCACAATGACATATTAAGCTTCGTTTGAAACAATTTTTTTTAATGTTTTCAAAATCAGTATAAAAGCCATCCCAAATAAAACCTTAGTCAATACCATTCCATCATTATCAACAAAATCATCATCATCATCAAGCTTTTTATCCCACTACATGGAATCGGATACATTAATCTTTTTTGTCCATTGTGCCCTAACCATTCCATCAATTTCAAAATCGTTTAAATTCAAGTACCAAAATTCTCAAAAATGCACTCAAAGGGGTAATTAAAAAGTTCTTAAAATTGTTTAAAGGGTCAATTGAGCTCTAAATTTTGAAAGCTTATAATCCAAATAATGATCTTAGTGACAATTGATAAAATAATTCATTTGAAATTAAAATCATGTGAACCTTAATTTATTTGAGTATCAAAATAGCTAAAAAAATGACAATTGATAAAATAACCAACACAATTCATATAATCACATTGAGACCCTTTTGGAGAGTTCATCCATGCAGTCCAAGTGCTTATCTTTATCTGTCAAGAGTAAGAAAAATTAATCCCACATGTGAAACACCGTTTCACTTACAGAATGAAATAAAAAAAACAACAGCAGATGTCAACTCTGCGGGACTTTCTTCTGATATTCTCTTGCAAATTCAGCGAACTTATTCAATCCTCGCAGAAGCAGGGCTTCTACGAAAGGTTTCAGTGCCTGGACAAGCAAAGTTTATAAGCCAAGGTTTCATATAAAGTTTTTTGTGTTGAAATATTTCAAGAGATTATAAAATGATATTATTGGTTTCTGTTACATACTGATGCTATAGGAGATAAAATTTCAGGAACTTCATATGAAACAGTCAGCTGCATTAGAGATGTGGGAGAAAGAGTGAAAAAGTCTAGTTTCTGAAGGAGCAGCAATTAAGGCTTCGTTTCAGACAGCTTTCTATTACAAAAGACTTTAATTTAATAAAATTTTGTATTAAAAAATTGCTATAGAAAGCAGTAAAAACGTTGTCCCAAACAAAATCAAAGTAACATAAAACAAGAGTAATAAACAGAACAAAAAATGAGAATGTAGATATGGTAACTTACAGTTGAGAAGTGCTATGAAGGAAAAAAAATAAGTTCAAGATGAATTTCGTACCCATTAAATTAATTTTGAGATTAATATAATATATATTTTGATTTAGTAATCCTTTATTACACTAATCTAATGCTCAGTATATTTTGATCAAATTTAAATCAGAACATTCTGATAAAATTTTTCTCATGATAAAGATGAAATTATGTTTTCGTTTGGGACGGCTTTCTTACTGCTTTAGAATAGAATTTTTTTAAAAAAATTTAATACAAGAAAATTTCTTTAGAAAGTAATAATAAAATTGTCCTAAATGAAGCCTAAGACAAATGCCAAAAAATTTGTTGAAAGACTCGAATTACTGTTTTGTTGATTTTTTTTTTTAAATTTTGCAAAATAAATCAAGTATGGATAATCCTGCCTATTTGACAACTGGCACTCATTCAGTAATAATTGGCCGTTTATTTTTTGGTTTGGTTGATCATTCTTCCTTATATTTAGTGTAGTGTACTGCTCTTTCTTGAGGATGGCATGTTTTTATTAGGATTTTACTCTTTAGACCAGTTTGAGATCAATTCTAGTTCTATTTTTAGTTTTATTTTAAATTTATTTTATTTATATTATTATTTTAAACGAAAACATTTTCATTTATATTATTATTGTTACATTTAATATAAGCCGCACATCAAATATACTATGATAGTGATTTAATTAAGAATTTATCTAATTAATTCATAAGTTAAATTTTCATAAACTGAATAAGTCCGCATATAGATGAAATTCAAGAATTCTCACTTCAATTCTGCATGACGATGGACCACTGGGATAAAATCGAACAGCACCTCTGCAAGCAAAATAGCAAGAAACATTTATAAGAAAGGAGAAAAAGAAAATAATAAAGAAATTTTCATTTTGACAAGAAATTGTATATTATGTTCTGCATCACATGCTTTTCTCATGATAATTATGTTCATCCAGGTATAGGCATAGAACACAAGTTCTCCTACCGGTCTGCATATTTTGATGCGTTGGCTTTCCTTGCCAAAGTGGAACATGTGAGATATACTCTTACAAACTATTTGCAAGATCACAAAGCATGAACGGATTCAGGGTGCGAGCATCAGCGGCATGTTCCCCCACTAGCTCATGCCTGCCTCACAATAAATATCCGATTGGGCGATTCAACATGTTTGACTCCTTTTTATTTTATCACTTATGATCGCAACATTTGCATAAAAAAAAAAAGAAACAGAATAGCTAGAACATAGAAAGAAAAATGGCAAACATATTTGTGTCATATTCTTTTTAGAGAGACCACCGGAGACATCATCCCAACATGCAATTAGCACAGTTCAAAATGAAGTTTTAAGATAATAAAACTTGATTTTATTGTTACATCCCAACTAAACAAATTCCTAGAGTCACCCATCCCTTTTTCCTTTTTGGGAGGGGTAATTAACTATAGGGGCTTGCGCCTATAGGAAACCAGAACTCAGATCAAAAAGTCCTCACCAAATGAGGGCGAAATCTCTGGGTAGTGTCTTATCTAAAATCCAATCTGCCTTCTGAAAATTCCCCCGGGATCACATCCTCCAAAATGGAAATTTTCGGAGCCCACAAAACCTTGTGTTAGATGGTGAAAAGAAAGCAGATTTTGTAAATCGTACTCATGAGAAGGCAAGGATTAATGTGGAGCAATGAACCAAATAATATGCTAAGCAAGCCAACAAATGTCGTACCAAGTTACTGTCTGGTTAAATAAAAGAAAGGAAATATTTTCAAATCAAAGAAGATCCAAACTACTTCCAAGAGGAGATGGGCCATTTCAAGTGTTAGAGCGCATCAATAACAATGCCTACAGGCTTGGCTTGCCAGGCGAGTATGAACTTAATGCTACTTTTAATATTTCTGATTTAAGCCGTTTTGATGCAGATTTCGATTTGAGGCAAATTCTTCTCAAGAGAAAGGGAATGATACATATCAAGATAAACGGCAAAGGAAGTCCTATTAAAATTACTGTTGGTCATCCAATACACGCACCAATTCATGAAGGCGGAGAAGAAATTAGTGGGTTTGTTACCCAACTTTGGGCCCACAAAGACCTCTTTAGTTAGAACATCAAGTGTTAATCTCCTCTAAGTGATTAATTAGTGTTTTAATGGAGTATTTTAGTTATTTATGTCTTAGTTCTAATATTTTGAATAGTTGGAGGGGTTTTATGTAAATTGTAATAAACTTGCCTACTTAATGGCCTTAGGAATGAAATATGGACAGATTTTTTGTGGGGAAAATTAGTGAATTGTTTTTTTTTTTTCTTAGGTGTTGCTGCCCATTGAGCTTCTCTTAGAGTCTCCAAGAATCCTTTCCTCCTCTTCAAGGTCTCAGCCAAGATCCATCCATCCAATTCTTTCCAGCCACAGGTTTGTCTTGTAGTCTCCAAGACCTTCTTCAGGCCTCAATCGTGCCTTCATTCCCTCCATCTGCCCGGCCTCCATTCCGCCAAGTTTTCTCCTCCTAGTTGCTGTCCATGAGTCTCTCTAGCACCAGGAGTTTTTCTCCCTCCAGCCAGGTCTTCCCTCTATCAGTTGGCCCTGCTGTTCTCGGCTAGCAGCCTTTAAGGTCTGCATTTCAGCTGAAGATCTCAGCCATATGTTCTGTTCTTGGAATTTCGAAGAACTGCACCTCATCTTCCCCTCCATCTGTCAGCAAACCAGCCAGGCGTGCCTTTAGGAAGTCTGCTATGAGGATCCCAGCTGATGGGTTCCTTCCATTCCAGCCCAACACTCGCCCCCCTTCTTTCCTAGTTCCTGCTATACACAGACAGCAGTTCTCAGGGCTGAAGACTTGTGTTCTTCAACACCAGCCAGCCATCAAGAACTCTAGTTTTCAGCCTTCAAGAACCTCCATATTCAGAATTATGGAAAGGCCAGAATTCCATAACACAATCTCTTCTCTCAGAACATGCAAATTCAGCAGCCAAGAACTTCTCTATCTCAGGATTTTGGAAACCAGTTTTCTTGTTCTTTCCCTAAACCCCTGATAAGAACGTATCAACTACCTTGAAAGGCTTAACACCATACAATCGCATTAGGCCTAAATGATGCTTGATCATAAAACTTGTGATAGACCTTCGAAGCATACATGTTTCATAACAAGATGAATACCACATTATCGAATGTGCACCTTACATTGAAATTTCTTTTCTCCAAAATTGTGGTCTCCTTGCTATAGATTCTACAACGGTATAACCATACATTGAGATAAACTATTCAACACAAACATGATCCTCTCTCCAAAAATCTCCCCGTCAAGTTGTAACTCTTTTTACTGTAAAATCTTAATTGTAGTTTGGAAGATAACTCTCCTTTAATGTCCAAAACTACGATGCTTTACAAAAATTGTTATATTTAACACATCACAACTAGTTGCTTATCATAACATATAGTCCACTAACTTTATTCACTTTTAAGACAACCAAAGAAATTCCTCAAATTTGGTGCATATCTAACTACATCCAATGAAACTATACAATGTTAGAACATCTAGCCTAGCACAGAATATTATTTCCTATGTACAAAAAGCCACCAAAACTTTGCTCATACATGAAAAATATCTCCAAATAAGAATCCATGCAATGAGAACAAACTGAATTTAGAATGCCTGCTATTTGCAACTATCACTATCAGTCACCAAAAGAGTATCAATATGAAACTACTCTTCCATCTAATAACATCTCATTGTAGTTTCCATTTGCTTGTTGCAATATTTTCATTAAGGCACCTTTCTTCTTATAGTCGAAGTAAATGATCTCATTGTATTTTTCACAATACTTGCTCCAACAAAGATTGGAATGAAATACTTATTCATGAGATCTCCCCTGATATACAATAAAGCTTTATCTAGTTTGACTCTCTTGAGCTTAGCAATCAACTCTTTTAATAGAGGTAATTCTTGGCCTCCTTTATGCTTTTTGTTTCATGCATATGCATCATTATGTATTGAAAGCACCTTTACGGAAATAAAGATCACAATAATAACAATAATGTTAGACCACTATCATCAACAATCACATCAATATTTCTAAAATCATGAATGAAAGAAGTAAACTAATTCAAATATGATTTGATTGACAAACATTTATGCAAATTAAACAAACATAATCTTTGTTTTTGGCATAGTCTATTGGGAAGGTTTTGGTCATCTACAATTTCTCTAACTTGAGATACGAAACTTCAATGATTTCCTCCAAGACCATCAAATCTTATCTGTCAAACATAAATGAATCACCAAGAAAACTTATTCATCCATCTCTACCTAATCTTCTTGTCTACATGCTTGACTTGCCAGGTGAGTATGAAGTTAATGCTACTTTTAATATTTCTGCTTTAAGCCGTTCTAATGCAGATTCCAATTTGAGGCAAATTCTTCTCAAGAGGAAGGGAATGATGCATATCAAGCTAATGGTCAAGGAAGTCCTATTTAAATTACCGTTGGTGATCCCATACGCACACAAGTCACGAAGGCGGAGAAGAAATTAGCGGGCTTTTTACCCAACTTTGGGCCAACAAAGACCTAAAGAGGTATGACAATGTGAGCCTAGTCAGAATATCAAGTGTTAATCTCCTCCAAGTGATTAATTAGTGCTTTAATAGAGAATTTTAGTTATTTATGTCTTAGTTCTGCAATTTTGAATTGTTGGAGGGGTTTTAAATAAATTGTAATAAACTTGCCTATTTAAAGGCCTAAGGAATGAAAAATGGACAGATTTTTTTGGTGGAGCAAATTAGTGAGTTGTTTTTATTTTCTTAGGTGTTGCTGCCCATTGAGCTTCTCTTGGAGTCGCAAAGAATCCTTTCCTCCTCTTCAAGGTCTCAGCCAAGAGCCCTCCATCCAATTCTTTCCAGCCACAGGTTTGTCTTGGAGTCTCCAAGACCTCAACCGTGCCTTCATTCCCTCCATCTGCCCGGCCTTCATTCCAACAAGTTTCTCCTCCTAGTTGCTGTCCATGAGTATCTTCCCGCCAGGTCTTCCCTCTCTCAGTTGGCCCTGCTGTTCTCGGCTAGCAGCCTTTGAGATCTGCATTTCAAATCGGCGCCGATTTCAGCTGGATTTACGGCAGAATACGTGGATCCGCCGAGCATAAGGTATGTACGCCGGATTTCTATTTTGCTTTCATCTCCTTTGGTTTCCTTTGGGTATAACATGAGGGTCAACAGTCTGCTATGAGGATCCGAGCTAGTGGGCTCCTTCCATTCCATCCCAACACTCGCCCCACTTCTTTCCTAGTTCTTTCCATACACGGACAGCAGTTCTCAGGGCTGAAGACTTGGGTTCTTCAACACCAGCCAGCCATCAAGAACTCTAGTTTTAAGCCTTCAAGAACCTCCATATTCAGAATTATGGAAAGGACAGAATTCCAGAACACAATCTCTTCTCTCAGAACTTGCAAATTCAGCAGCCAAGAACTCTCTCTCAGGTTTTTGAAACCAGTTTTCTTGTTCTTGCCTTAAACCCCCCGATAAGAACGTATCAACTACCCTGAAAGGCTTAACACCGTACAATCACATTAGGCCTAAATGATGCTTGATCATAACACTTGTGATAATCCTTCGAAGCATACATGTTTCATAACAAGATGAATACCTCATTATCGAATGTGCACCTTACATTGAAATTTCTTCTCTCCAAAATTGTGGTCTAATAAAGCAACACATATACTGTAAAATACTAACATATTAAAAAAATACTCCAATTACGTTCGCATTCGGCTGAACTACATGTTAGACTAAGGGTTTTGATAGCAAAGCTTTGTAAATTGGGAGCTCCTTGTCCATATGCCAACCA